ATTCCGTAGGTCTCAATGAGAATGTCATCATCAAAATTTTGAAAGAGTGAGTAAAATTTGAGAGTAAAATAATATTTCTTTGTACTCTATAATTAAATCTCCCTTTATTTACCAAAACTATGTGGTCTAATGGTACTCGGGTTGGACTTTCATTTGGAAGGTTGTGAGTTCAAACCTAGTGAAGGCGTTATTGGTTCGATACTTCGATGCTACATTGTAATAGAGCCATTAGCATTCAAAAATACAAAAAAATCTCCCTCTCTTTGCTTAGATTTTATTTTATTTTGCACTATAGTTGAAAAAGAAAAAATAAAAAATCAAACACATGTTGCCTAAGACATTGTGGGCAAGTGATACTAACTTTTGATTATTACGTTGCATAAGATCTTGGGAGCAAGTGATATACTAACTTTTTGATTTTAGATTAGAAGGAAAATACTTGGTGTATTTCCATTTTATATTTCTAACTTGTATTTCCTCTCACATGTTTTTTATGTAGACAATTTTATGTGGATTCACATGATGAAAATGTTGGAAAAAATAGCTTGAAATGGCATAAAATGGCATATTAAGTGGCTATTTTGTGGTACAATTATCAGTGGGGTCCACTTCCGATTTGGGTCGGGTCAAAGTGGATTCGGGTTCTTCGTAGTGAGACGAAGAGATTGATATATTGTACGCTCAAAACGGATAATGGGTGAATGAGATATTGATTCTCAAAGTAGACCCATTTGAGTTGGAAAATGAAGGGAAAAAGTGAGCTTTTGTCCCACATTGGTTTGGGAAGAGGATTTGCCCCACTATTTATATATGAGCTCTTATTAAGCTTATTGAATTGTATAGCATAGAGGCTCTCTCTCACACGCAGGGGGTGTAAATCAAATCCCAAAACTTCGGTGTTCATTTTCCAACAAAGCCACGAAATTTCGTGTTGATTATTGTGTTAGTTTCGGCCACTTGGCCGAAACTATTGAAACTGTAAGTTTCATAGTCTCGGCCACGTTAGGCCGAATTTGCAAGTGAATTGCAAATGGCCATGTTAGGCCAAATTTGCATGGGAATTAACACCCATGTTAATGGTTGCTATTACGGAAGTTGTAGGGGTGCCTCTAAATGCTATAATAAAGGTTATGGGGTGCCTCTAAATGCTATAATAAAGGCTATTCACTCCTCACTCCCTATATAAGAAGGGGTAGAGTGCAGCAGAATTTTTTTTTACTAAGGAAATAGTGACAAGAACACACAACACAAGAAGTGTTTTCTCTCCTCAAAAACTCTGCTTCTACTCCTTTCTTAAGCCGAACTGTGTTCAAGGCTTTGCTCTAGTTCGCCGGGTTCGTTTGTTTGGGTGCTCAAACGTCGAACCGTAGCGCGTTTTATCCTGGGAAACCTAGGCCACGGCGCTCCTAGCACTTTTGGGAGGTGGCAAATAAGGTTTTAAGGAAAGAGTGGTCTCTTGACTCACGCTAAAAACCCTTATCCAAACATGAGCCAATCTTTCCTTCTTTCGATTTTGGATTATGCTTCTAAGCAAAAATCCTCCTATAATGTTATAGTTTGGTTGGAATTATAATCTGTGTATTATAAATTCCATTTGGTTGATATGTATATATCTTTTCCGTAGATATTCATGCATATAACCATGTCGGTCTGATTTATATATATATTCGTGTGTGTATATATATATATATATATATATATATATATATATATATATACATATATATATTTCGGATATAATATATCGAATAATATTTTATATACTTCGTGTGTGTATATATAAATATTATTTTACGATATTAAATCGATTTTTGGTTGATTATCACCAACAGAAAATAACTAATCCTGTTTTGCCAGGGAGTATAATTTGGTAGTCCATGTAGTAGAACTCAGATTAGAATGTCAAAAATTCAATCACCAATCTCGGCTTAACGGTTCATAGTACATTGACTATATTACATTGTAGTATCTGTTCAAACATACATTCTCAATCTAAAACCTTTCTTAACCTAAAACCTCCCACACAGTCACACAGAAGAGGTCGCTATACATATTATCTGAGCACAAGATGTTTGACTAGTGAACTAATTATTTTTTGATGGTTTGAAATCATGTGAAAGAACATTAAAAACAGTGAAACAAATTACAAATACTCTTATTTTATTATCGCATAATTTATTTATTTTTAGATTAATATCATATAAGGTCATTCGAGTATAGTAATTTTGTCACGTTTAGTGCTAAATTTTCAAATTGACTTTCAAATTGCTATCATTTATGACCCAAATAATCACCAATGGTCATTCAACTTTCAATATTTAATCACCTCTGGTCCTCCTAGAAGGATCACAGTTTGTCAAAATTTGATGGTTGAAAACCATGGATGGTTAACTTTGACCACAAATGGTAACAATTTAAAAGTCGAAAGACTAAGGGAGATCAATTTGAATATTTAGAACGAAACATGGCAAAATCACTATACTCAAGGACCTCAGATATTGTTAACTCATTTTAGTAAGGAAAATACTATATGCATTCTCATTTTCTACTCTCAATTTTTACTCTCACACATAAAATCTGAATGCATATACTTATACGGGGACCTGCATGAAAAAAAAAAAGAGTAATTTATTAATATCTGTCACATCAAAAAATAAAATTTAAGGAATAAAATTTTGGAATTCATGTAATACAATTTTAATTTTTTTATATAAGTGATATGTGGCTTAGTGTTTCTCATTACTTACAAGAATAATATTTTTTATACAAAAACGTACGATTGTACGTCTGTACGAGACTCGAGACATAGCATTCAGCCATTCAGTGACTCATCAGTGGGGTGATTTTATTTCTTCTAGTCTTCTAGAAAAAAGGAAAGGGACGATTACAATGGTACCGAAAAAACCAGGAAGGAAGGTTCCTCGCAATTTCGGAGCCTTGAATTCACTTCCCTAATTCCCTTACCTACTATACGCGGAAGCTACACTGCAGTTTCCCTTGCCTAGCTAGCTACCTGCTCATCTGAATTGAAGCTGCAGCTTACAAATTACGTGTTGTGGCCGTGGATGAAAGAAATTAATAAGTTAAGTGATATGATGTCAGCGTCGGCGTCTCCTCCTCCGGTGGCGGTGGAAGATGAGGAGGATCAAGGAGAGGTGCATCCGGCGATGAAGGCGGCGGTGTTCGCATGCCTGGCCGGAGCGATGATATGGACGATTGCGGTGGCCAATACGGCCCAAGAGCTACCGGATGCAGATGTGCCGTCGGAGATAGCTTTGCATCTGCTCATTACTGTGCTGCTGCTCGCGTGCGTGGCTTTTCTTCTCGCCATGGTCTTCGTCAATTGCATCCGCGCGCTCGGACGATTCAGGAAATGGAGAAAGACCACGACCACACTCCTCCTCCGCGGAGAGAAACAACGTCCCTTGTTGGTCTAACAACCTTTACACTTTTTTGTAATTTTTTTTTTTTGGTATGACGGAAGAGTTAACCAATTTATGAAAATAATTTTGTTTTTTCATTAAGAGGGTATACACTTAGTAAAACTCTCTACTTTAACTCGTAAAATTAAAGGCCATAAGGTAAATAAGCTTATAAGTCAATATATATGGCGTTCTTGTTGAGGGCTGAACTTAACATTATTGTTATCAAGCCAATCGTTTAATCAATTTAGATATGATTTTCTCAATAATTGCACTTTTATGTTTTAAAAATTTGGTTAGTTAAAAAAAAAATGTAATTCAAGCATTCAGCACATAAAAAGTGTAATTAATATTATTTATCAATACCAAGACCGTGTAGTCTAATGGTATTCGGGTTAGACTCCCATATGAGATGTTGTGAGTTTGAGCCAACATTATTGGCTTTTTATGCTTCAATAGATTTAGTCATGAAGAGATATTACATTGTCATAGAGTCAGTAACATTAAAAAAAAAAATATTTGTCAATTACTTTTAATTTTAGTTATTTATTTAGTGTGACTAATTTTAAAACATCATCACTTGTGTGGATATCATATAATATTGCCATGTTAAACTAAAATTAAACATTTATTTTAATTATCATACAAATAAAATTTTAATAATTTATAGAATGATTGCATCCTCTCCGAATCTAAACATAAATGAAATGGTCGTGATTATCTCTTCTCTCATTCTCATTTAAGATTTGGATTGGAGGAAGAACCATAGTTGTTTCATTAGTCGATCTTGATGATACATACAACAACCTCTTCATCTCTTCTTCAACTTTAAAGGATTAAAGAGGTAGCACTATTTTTCATTTTTTTTATAATTAAAATAAATTATATATTTAGTTTGAGATATCAATGTCACATATTGTCTCAATGTTAGTATTTCAAAATTATAAGTGCTTTATACATCAATTAAACAAATTATAGTGTAAGTAATTCATTCTTTTGATCTATGATTCATTTAATTACACAAACACACAAATTCAATTTTTTTCAACACTTCTTATTTTAATTTTATGCAATGAAAAATTATTCAATAAAAAGATTTTTGTAAAGGGACTAAGTAAGGGAATATACATACTTGAAGATTGTAGGTTCAATTTGTACTAATTTTCTTTTGATAAAGTCATAAAACATATTGCATACCTCTATTGTCCGTAGGAGTAACTCATGCAATTCTTAATCCTGACAATTGCAACGTGAAAGATGATGAAATTTTACTTTTGAGAACTGTGCGCAAGGGATTTCCTAGATCACACCGAAAAATAAAAAGATTTTTTTCAAAAGAAACAGAAGAAAAAAAAATACCTCTTCCGAGTTTTAACCAAAAGAATTTTAGATTTTTAGTACATGTAATCTTAAATTATACTCCTTACTTTTATTTCATGATGATGTGGTAAACAATGATATATATATATATATATATATATATATATATATATATAATTTTGGTGAGGGATATGATATATTTTATTATATAATTACAGAAAAAATATCTATTAAGAGTAATGAATGAGAGTTATTTTTGGAACCTTAACAACACCCTTCGGCTCGCCGCTCGCCTTTCTCGCATATCACCTTCACCTCTCACACAGTTGCTTTCGGCTCGCCTTCAGCTCTTCTTGCCGTCTCCGGTCGTTCCCTTCCGCCTCAATAGGTCAGTGTCTCGATAGGTCTATGCATTTGTTTTGATCACCAGATTACTCTGAATCTATGATAATCGAAAATATTACCTTGAATGCACTCATTTTGATCCTGAAATTAATGCGATTTTGTGAATGTACTCATTTTGATCCTGAAATTAATGTGATTTTGTGAATTCACTTGTTTCATTTACTTGAAAGAACTTGAAGGATTTTATATTATATTGGCTCAAGCTCCTTTAATTGTTCCACGTACCGCTTCATCTTCGGCCTGTCAGAGAGTGATTAATACTGATTATAGCCAAATACTATAATGAGAAAAACATAGAAATCTATTTGTTCATATTATTAACTGGAAAACTAGCTCAGGTTTTATTGGAGAAGATGATTCTTTAGTGGTAGTTGATGACTAATAATTCTTAAATCATAAAAAACTTTAGTCCATACTCATAAGTATATAATGAACTTTCTATTCATACTTGGTTAGCTTAACACAGGAAAATTTCAAGTGGTAGTTGATAACTAATAATCCATTATCACAAAATATATTACTCTGTACTCATAAACTTGAAATGAGTTAACTCATAATGATGAACATTTAATTCATACTCGGTACGTGAGCCTAACTCGCACAATTTGTAAGCGTTTGGCGCCTTCACACTCATGACTCATGGCAAGCAATTAGGTTGTGTGATAATGGTTGAGTTAGCTAGTTGCCTGCTAAGCCAATTTATGTGATCGGTGGGGAGGGCAATGACGATTTCCAAGTCTCGTTATCAATCCAAATTCCAAAGCTTATAATTTAACATTCTTTCTGGGATTTGAGGATGTGAAGAAATTGTTGGAATAAACTAGATCTCATTCCCATTGCTTGCATATCAAATTGCAAACCAAACATTATGGTTTGGGATAAATATATCAAGGATGAAGCTATAAATTGAGTTATCCATTACTCTTCACCCCTTAATCTCTCTTGCTTTGTTTGCTTTTGGGAGGCTGAATTGGTACATTTTCCAGGTCAAAACTAAGAAATGGGTGACAAGAAGAAGGCTGGTGCTATTTTTGTGAGGCTTGTTTCAGCTGCAGGCACTGGATTCTTCTACGTGGTGAAGAAGACAAAGAGGCTTCAAACTAGTCAGACAAAACTTGAGTTTCGGAAGCATGATCCTCGCGTCAATCGCCATGTTCTGTTCAAGGAGGAAAAAATGAAGTGATTGGAAAGCCCAGATGATCAACTACAGCAGGCTGTTCATTGTCTATTTATAGCTTTACATTAGTTGACTGCTAAACATTTCAGTTGACCAGTCACTATTTTGTGCAACTTCTTAAGATTAGTTCATTTCACGTTTAGAACGCCCCCAATGATTATGTACTAGCCATTTAGCAATTTTAGCAAGAGAAAACTAATATGATTTGGGAATCTTCATTAAGAATCAAACATCTTCTCTTCCAGCGGATTCATTGAAGTACCAATTTAGCCTTCAAGCAAAGAATGACAAGAATGTTATGGGGGGTTTTGTATTTTGGGATTGGAATCTCATTGGGTGGTAGCTAGACCTAGCAATTCATGTATACGGGTTTGTTAATATGTCAACACGAACACGATAAGGCTACATGTTGTTGTCAACGAGTTTAAATTTTTAACACGAGTACGGTTTGTAAATAGGTTGACACTTGACACAATAGATACGTTTTGATAACATGTAATCAGTTTAAACCCATTAAACCTATGTATGTAATTAAAATTTGAAGTAAAGTCATATAAAAATAAATAAAACTTACAATTCAATCCATCAAACAAACTAAAAATAAAATTCAATTATGTAAATAAATTGAAGATACATAATTTGTTACCTGCGAATACATAATATGTTAATATAATGTAATAAATTATAAATTAATTTTCTATTAAGAAATTAATTTTATTTTATTAGTATGTAAATTGTGCAAACTTATACAAGTAAAAAAATATTTTATCATAGTTTGTATTCAATTTTTGTGTATTTTTAAAACGTTATGAAATATATTAAAGATATAATATTTTAATATATTATTTCATATTATCTATTTGTTTTAATCTTGTCCATTTATTAGATATTTAAAATGGAATGAGTTCTTAGTAGGTTATAAACAAGTTTGTGTAAATGAGTAATATTAACGGGTTAAACTAGTTAATATGTTTAGCGGGTTGATTAATTAAGCCACGAAACATAATGGGTCGGTAAACCAGTTAATTATATGTTAATTATATGGAGACACATCAAAGAAAAACACTAATCCGTTATTATTGTGCATGTTTTGTGTTCTGGGTCGGGTAAACCCGTTAATTATATGGGAACACATCAAAGAAAAACAGCCGTTAATTATATGGGGACACATTAAAAAAACACTAATCCGTTATTATTGTGCCTATTTTGTGTTGTGTTAAGGGACGATAAATTACTAAGTTTATTGAGTCGTTAAATATTTTTAAAAAATCACATCATAAAGTCACATATTTATATCAATTAATCAATATAAAAAGTTTTATTTCACATATATGTTTAAATTGTGAATTGAACATGTTAAAAAAACATCATTAAATTTACCAATTGTGTTTTCTTGTAAAAGCATTAAAAATAATTCAATAAAATTCAACCTCAAAGTAGTGATCTTTAGCCGAAGCAAAGACTTAAAGTTGATTTATATTCCCTCTGTCCCATTTTGCCTGTCCTGTTTACTATTCATTGGTCAATCCAACTCTTTCTTCATTGTTTATTTTCTTTAGTAATTTTTAATTATTTTTAAATTTGATTTTTTATGTTTAATAGTACTTTTAATGTAGTTTCTAAATATATAAATTTTATATACTAAAAATAAATTTAATATTATGAAAAATTGAAGTAAAAATAGCTTCAGTCAAGCCTCGTTAACCGAACCAGACAAACAAAATGGGACGGAGGTAGTACTTTTTATTGAAGTGGTCATACTTAATTAAAATTCTTATAAATTCTTTTAAGTGGTTGGTCAAATTTTGGCCAGTTCGTAAATAAGTAAAAAATTAACAAAGGATAAGATGATTTAATTGAATGCATTTAGTTAAAGATATGAAAATTTGGATAAAAATGAGGTGAAATTGACCAAAAGACTAAAATGTAGGGACTACATAATTAATTTAGACATTACAAAACCCTAATGTTCGTCTCTTTTATACCCTAGGCTAGAGAAATTCCGAGGCTGCCTGCTGTACCTCCACGTAGAGAAAACACTCCGGCGGCCTTCATCTCCGATATCCGTAAGTCTAAGATTCTTCATTTTCATATTCTACTAGTTTGATTCCCTGAGTATATCCTGAAAGTGAGATTATTTTTATATAATTTTTTTGGGATGAACTTTGCACATATGTTTTCGTTTAGATTATGCCTTTGATTTTTGCTGGTTTTATTGGAGAAATCCGTACTCTAGAAATTCTTGTTTTGTAGATAGGATTTTGAGTAATCTATGATGCTATAGCGTTGAAATCTAATGTTAATTTGAAGGGAATGCACCACTGATCGAGTGTGCTTGATGCAATAAGAATATGCAGTTATCTGTTTCTTTTAACCTGTTTTTGTTGGTGATTTTATTAACGATAATTTGTGTAGTCATACCCAAAACATAGGCTTTGGCCCTTTTTCTGTCTTAGAGAATTTGGCTCTTTTAGTTTTTTATTGACTTGTGAACTGTGAAGATGATAGCTTATTATCTATTTTAACTAGAGATGGCTGAAGCAAAAACTGTTGTCCCTGAGTCGGTCTTGAAGAAGCAGAAGAGGCAAGGGGAGTGGGCTCTGGCCAAGAAGCAAGAAATTGAAGCCATTAAGAAGAAGAATGCTGAGAACCGAAAGATTATTTTCAACAGGGCTAAGCAGTATGCCAAGGAATACGAGGAGCAGGTATTCTTGATGTGTTTGGTGGTTTGCTGTTGTCCTGTTTATGTTAGTTATAACTTGGGATGTTTTGCAATTACTGAATCTAAAAGATTGTGTAATGTAGCAAAAGGAGCTGGTTCAGTTGAAGCGTGAGGCGAGGCTGAAAGGAGGCTTCTATGTTAACCCTGAAGCAAAATTGTTGTTCATTATTCGCATCCGTGGGTATGAATACACCCCCATTTTGTGTTTAATTGTAGGGTATTGCATTCTATTTAAGTAATAAATTTTGTTTCTTGCTTCTTCTATGGATGAACTCCAGTATCAATGCTATGCACCCCCAGACAAAGAAGATATTGCAGCTTCTCCGTTTGAGACAGGTGATTTGACAACTGTCTTTCTATCTGCTCATATCCGTGCTCATTTTCTGTCTCCTAAATGTTCCTTACCAGTAGTTATCTTGTACCTACAGATTTTCAATGGTGTATTCCTAAAGGTCAACAAAGCAACAATCAACATGTTGCACAGGGTTGAGCCATATGTGACCTATGGGTATCTATCTCATTATCTTGACTGTTTTAGTACTTATTTTAGAATTTATGCAAATATTTGATTTGATTGATCTATGCTTGTTCACAAAGGTATCCTAACTTGAAGAGTGTGAAGGAGTTGATATACAAAAGGGGCTATGGAAAGGTTAACAAGCAAAGGATTCCCTTGACTGAGAACTCTATCATTGAACAGGTATATGCTTGCTTTGACTATGGCCTTGTTTGGTAAAAAATTGACCTATAGGCCAATTTTGGCTTATTTCACAACTATTAATTGTTTGATTTGGTTAAAATATCAATATAAATGTTTGGTTAATTAGCTTTTTGCAACTCTAAAAGGCTATTCAAAAAGCTACTCCAAACAACTTTTTCAATTAGCTTTTTGAGAAGAAATTATACCAAACAGCAATCAGCTAATAGCTAACAGCCATTTTACCAAACATGGCCATATGTATTGCCACAAGTGTAGCTACATGAGCATATAAGCTAACGATCCCTTTTTCGCAGACTCTTGGCAAGCACAACATAATTTGTGTCGAAGATCTTGTTCACGAGATCATCACTGTTGGACCGCACTTCAAGGAAGCTAACAATTTCCTTTGGCCATTCCAACTCAAGGCTCCACTAGGTGGTCTTAAGAAGAAAAGAAACCACTATGTTGAAGGAGGAGATGCTGGAAACAGGGAAGATTATATCAATGAACTGATTAGAAGAATGAACTAGACATTGGTGGGTGCCTGACCTTCAGTCTGTCAAAGATTTTGAAAGTTCTTTTGTTGCCCATTGTGAGTTGGATGAGTTATTTGTTTTTAGTTTGGCTTGAACATTTTGGTTTTTCTTTATTAAAACAGGTGATTAGCATGTTGTTGACTATGCCTTCTACATTTTACTCAGTATTCTGGATTTATAGCCTTAATGCAATTTTACTTTGTTTATCAGTTTTAGCCTCTTCTTGCTAGTATGCAACATTTTGTTGCCTTTATTGTTGTCTTCTACCAAATCTAAGGCAAAAACTTGTGAGAGGGAGACTGGCTCATGGCTCATGTATTCTTGTGATACGAATTGGATTAAGATGAAAATAGAATACACTTATTAAAAGTTTTAGCCTCTTCTTGCTAGTATGCAACATTTTGTTGCCTTTAGTGTTGTTTTCTACCAAATCTAAGGCAAAAACTTGTGAGAGGGAGACTGTCTCACGTATTCTCGAATACGAATTGGATTAAGATGAAAATATAATAATTATATTAAAAAGTGTATTACTAATAAGAAATAAATTAAGTATAATATTTTTAAGAAAAATGTAATATTTTTATATTTTGATTTAAAGTATTACATTTTTTCTCAAAAATATTAGTATTGCATTTTTTTGAAAGAAAAAGGAGGGTTGAAACCCAGGTCAATATTTAACCCTTACAGTATTATTACTACCCAGAATACCAAGTTCATCTTGACGGAGATATCTTTACATGTTTTTCGTAACTTGATCATAAAAGCATTCCTTTCTTGCATCGTCGAAAGCCTGGCAATAAGATCGGCTACTCGATTTTGTAATGCTACTCTTTTTGTTTCTATCCAATTTCAACTTAATGCTAGCATTGTAATCTCACTACCATGCTCATCTCAATGGGATGATGATCTTAATTTGTGGTGGGATGGCATGGTTGACGGATGATGTAATCTTATTCTCATGCTTAATGGGGTGTTTGGATGGTTGTAACTGAAATTCTTTTTCAATTTTATTCAATATGTAAGAAAATTACCTTGTTTGGTTAGAGAGAGAGTTATAATTTCATGGAATTACAATTCTTCTTTATGTTGAATTGTAATTCATGACTCCACTTCTATGTATAATTTAGCGTAGCATGGAAAGGAAAAAGATAAGAAAATAACTCATTTGCCTTTAATTATTATTATTACATAACAACATGACATTTTAGTCTTTATATCACACTCTTTGTGCATCCACAACTTCAAGCATAACAACATGAGTTCTAGACCACCCCTTTAATTAT